TCGAAAACGTTTAGATTTTCTGAAAAATATGTTGCTGCCATACATTTTTGCCCAAAATGTCTTGGACATTCTACCTACATCTCGAGTAATCATGGAAAAGGTGAAATCGTACCTGCGACATTTTGTTACGTAAACGGATTCATTTACGTAGCATTTTGAAGAGTTCCTCCACAGTGTTATTAAGTTTGATTTAAGATTACTTAATAAAAACCAAGGGAATGGTGATTGCTAACATCTCAAAACTGGCATTTATTTTTGAATTGTTGTTAGTGAGATTCTGCAAATTGTTAGACATTTTCGTTATGAAATCAAATAATATTCAATCTTAAAAAAGTCCAATATACCTGTACCATCCTGGGGTGGATTAACCAAGTTTAACATGGTTAGGTAAAACAGGATTAATTCAAACCCAATGTCAACCTTGCAGTTCATTGTATTGTTGACAATCTCCAAAACGAAATTAAAATGAAATATTATGACTACGGAAAAATGTGAAATATTTTTACGTGTTTATACCTTTACGTACTTGCTATTCTAAATTGCAATAAATACAAACGATGTAAAAACAATCGTAGAAAATGAGGTTCGCATGTAACAAGCAATCCAGTGGGATTTCGAAGTTTCTTGTTTGCCCATGCTGACTTAATTTGCGGTTCCAATCAAAGAGTTGGACGCTTAAACGTGTTACAGAAACCAAGATTAGATTAATACGATTGCGTTTGCAATTCATCCCTTGAAATGACTTGTGAAGTATGAATCCCAGATCTGTATGTATTTTATTAAATCAACCTGCGTCCAGCTTCTGTCTTAAGTGGTTTGCAATTGCATTGTGACTACTGTTCGATAGCTGAAATCTAATAGGGCAAGTAACAGATTGTATGGTTGACTTTGGATTTTGTTAATGTGGCATTTTGGCTTTTTTCTAATTACTATTTATTATACTTTGTAATGACTTCACTATATATGAAATGAACGATATTTTTTTAGATTTTTGATGTTGCCTGATTTGGTGGGTGAACAGTCTTTTTATGTTAAATAATTGTTACGTGTGTTAGGGATTTTAGGGCTTTGTCTCAGTATAACTCGGTTTTTCTCTTAAATTTTTCTAACGTTTTTTTAAGTTTTTTATACAGTGCTATAATGTTAACTCTACTTCATTGTATAACGTAACAAAGATACTATATGAGAGAACAGTCAGGTCCTGGTTAACTTGTGGTTCAACTTAAATACGTTGCACTTTCTACTTTCGAAGTCGAATCATAAATAAAATGAAACAACACCATCGATTATGTATGCCTCTCAAGAAATAATCTCAGACCAGTATCAGAGTGTACTAAATTTGAAGCAAAGTGTATTCTTGTAGATCATCCGAAGAGATTCGTAACTCATGGTCTATAAAAATTGCAATTGATAGTTGTAGGACTATAATGCTACCTCTGTTGGTCGCAATAATAAGGTATGATAGAGTTAAGCCTATTGACCGATATCTGAAAAAGATAAGTTATAAGACAGTGTAAGGTTCAAGTAATTAAGTAGCATGATATTGGAAATAAACTGTATACTAACCACCGTGTTCTTTATTTTTCAAAACACCGTGTGATCTTAATCTGAAACATAGGATCAAATTCTATGTTAAGCGCTGATGAGAAAAAGTCATTCCAACTCAGTTGGAATCGAACCCACAACCTCCCGATTTCATGCCGAATGCTTTTACCTATTGCGGAATAGCGACGAATATTGTCTAGGCGGTAGTCAGGTTGACCCATCTTCCTCATAATCCATTACTTTCTTTAATTTTTCATGCTGTGTGGGAACAACAAGTTACTGTGGGAATTGCACCCTTGATCTAACTATGAGTACGTGTAGCAATGAGGCAACTGGTTAAAAGTTAGGTAAGTGCAGTAGGCTTCGATGATATATGGATGCCATACCCCATCATGAGATGCGTAATTACAATCATTTGTAAACTAGATACAGTACACACAAGAAAAGAGATCTTTCGATTGATCTTGCTTCATGTTATCTTAGATATGGATGACGACTTATTACATACAAATAAAACACAGCGAGGATACATACACAAAACGTATCGAAGAATGACCAAATGTATGCGTATGACGTCATTCCTTTATGTGTAGACAATGTGCATGTGTAGCAAAAGGAAGATGTAGCGAAGAGAGAGCAATCAGCCACAGTTCATTGTACATAATTACTTCTTCATAGTTCTCTCCCGATAAAACAGAAAGTTCCTCTCTATGATAAAAAGGACTTGGTACGATGGGAGGTTAACCAATATGAGTACATTATAATGTTGTGCCAACCCTCTAAATAAAAAAAACTGAAGATTGTGTACATATGTTTCTGTTTTCTTTGATGGAATGGCAATTTCTGATAACAACTGGCAAATGCAATGATGGCTAAGATCCGGGTTTAGTTATAAAATGTAAAAATCTTGTTCTTCAATTTTACACTATTATAACACCAAAGTGGTTTTCTTTTTCCTTCCTCGGGCTGAATTATAGTTGAATACCTCATTAATACAAATTCCAAGGCACTTCAAACCCTTTTTTGTTATATCAAATTCCTTGGCCGAGTTGTGTTGTATGCTTTTGACACACCAATGGCATTTCAACCGTCTCAAGTGGTGGAATCACAATTCGTTCCAAGTGTCACCATACTTACTGTGCAGTCGAAAGAAGAACTGCCGCTTTATCTGGGGCTACAATAGCCGTACAAGAGAATTGATCACGGATAGACCTTCGATGCTGTAAATTAATGAGGTTATCATATTGAACAAGACTCGAGGGCTTAAGACATTTCCAGTTTATATCTGTGTCTTCAAAACTGTGTGTCGATAAATTTCTGGATCAGAAATGATGATGTACTATCACAGAATCCTATCTTGTCACAACTAATAGCTTCACTTATCTCGGAATATATCTCAAATCAGACCTAATGAAACCCTTTATTCAAATTATTAGCTCAATTTGATTTCTATATTAAGAAGCTATAACGTCAAACCAATACTTGGGTATTTCTCGTTTCAGGTACTAGATTTGAAAGGGCTTATATACATAGCGTTACCAATTCCTTCAATCAATCATCTCTCGGAGATAAAATTGAAGAACAGTTACAAGCTTGACGATTTTCCTTTGGGATCAACATCCGGGAATAAATTCCTTTTATTTATCTATTTTATCTCTATCTTCGTGTTTCTTGTCATTATTGTCGTCTCATATCTGAATCTTCAATCTCGGTTGTAAATGAAGCAAATCTGGTTAAATTTGTATTTTGACTGCCAGTTGTTCGAAACCAAGTTTCTGTAAAAAAAGTAGAATTGTTATTTTTTTCAGTTTTCCTATTGTTGTGAATGTTATATCTTGCACCATCAACACACGTGCTGCCATCTCCTTGTCAATTCATAAAGCAAATGGTCAATTGATTAAAACAAATATACGGTTTTGGAGTTTCATACATTGTACAATCTGTTAATTGAAGTATAGAAAAAATGAAAATACACGATTCTACCTTGTTGTAACACTGACTCTTTTTTCTCAGCATATATTTGTCACATTAACTTATTCAGTAAATGTCACTATCACGGGTATGAGTTAATTAACTGTTGAGCAACTTCAATAAACAACTCTCTTCAAAACCCATTTTCACGCCCGGTGATTGTACAAAATGGATGGAGGGGGGATTAGGCGATTTCTGCAAGAAAACTCAACAAATTTGGAAGATTTATTTTTTCAAGAGAAAATTCACAACTGAATTGCCAAATGAATAGGCGCAGTGCATGACAAAATATGTTGGGCCATCTAGTATTGTTTGAACTGATACGCTTCTAAGATATGAGATCTATTAAAAAGGCGCATCATCACCAACGTGCAAAAGTCAATGTTTTTGCTATAAATCGGGCAACAATGGTCTACACGACCTGTAATAAATAGGTATAAGGGACGTTATTATCACAATACTAATGACATTGCTCACTTTTTAAATTTAGTTTCAATACGTTATACAAAAAAGAATTGAAATAAATTAATATTGGATGGAGGGGGATAGGATGGAGGGAGGGGGAGTTATATGTCTTTACGATGGAACAAATTCACAAGAACTCGTGTATTTGAAAAAACTAAACTCAGTACCCCAGTAAGAAACTGGATATTATATCTCTGGAGAATGAAAAATGGGAAAATTTGGAGTCATAAGAATAAATTTAAGTAGCATGTCTTATCAAGTCTTATATACACGTTATCCCCCTCCATCCTATCCCCCCTCCATCCTATATTAATTTGTTTCGATTGCGAGTAGGCCAAAGAAATAAATTATGAGTTTAATAGTTCAACTGACCCTATGGGAAAATTTGGTATCATAGCAAAGCTCAGAGAATTGTCTATGTCGTGTGATAAATAATTTGTGTTGGAATAGGTGACGTTGTCATGGAAACGGGCGTTGAACAAAAGATGTCCTTAATAAGAATAAAAAGTACAGCACCATTGCAAGGGATATCTGGTTAAGTCAATGTGCAACTTTGAAAGAATGAAAATTAAGGAATTGAAAGAATTTTAGTTTATCTTCAACATTTAACTCAAAATTATACATATTCTACTCTTTTTTGATTATTGTGATGTCATAATGGTCTATTTTGAATGAAAAACAGTTGGCCTCATATGAAATTTATAACACCATTAGATTGTGTAGTCACAATTGCTTACAAATGTTACCTTTATGTATATCAAATGAAAGCTACTGCTCTCAGGATCATTTTGGTATATAAATTGTAAACATTGATCATTTACTCTCTGAGATATTATGATATAAGGTGATTTAAATTGTGGCCTGAGTTACAGAAATTATCAGCAGTTCGGCATTATCGCAAATGACAAAATATTGGCGAATTTCTACCATTGTATACATTCTTATTGATATCATAACTTTACTAGTATTTTGATCCTATGAGAAAAGTTGGTACCAATGCAAAGCTTTGACAACTGTCTATGATGTGTGATATATGATTAGTGTTTAAACAGGTGCCGTTGCCATGGAAACGGGCGTTGAGCAATAGGTATCCTTAATAAGATTGAAATACGTATAGGAATGGGCATTTCCAGCCAGTGATCTAAATATGTATATTTTATTAATAGCAATTGTGTGGAAATGATCAGTTTTTATCAATCTTGAACTATAATGACTAAATGATTCTATATATTAAATTTTAAAGTGTTATTGTGACATCACAATAGCGGATTTCAAATGAGAAACAGTTTGCTTTACATGGTCTCCGTGAAACTGATATCTTCCATGATTACAATTGCAAAAGAATATGCACTTTATGGATATCAAATTAGAGCCAGTGCAATAACGAGTATGATGATAAGTAAATCAACATTATTAGATCAAGCTATGCCGTGGTTTCATGCTTTTGAATCTAGGGTATCAGTGGTTATAGACACAAAATACTGTTTGAGAGGTCTGAGACTAACATATTTTATGCTAGTCTCGGGAGAGGTGGAACAACTTTTTATCCTGATCGATGAGTCTGAAAGTCGCAAGAAAAGTGTTTTCCTCAGTACATACGGTATGTTGTCATGTATAGAGAGGTTTCGCAAAACGTTTTTTAGCTCCACGGATCCGTATCCGTAACGTATTTACCAGATTTATGCGTAGTCAGTTCAATTTATACGTGAAATGATACGGAAAACACGAAAAATGAGGCTTATGTACGTTGATAATTTACGTATCCGATTTTACCCTTCGATTATATTGTTTTTAGCTCTAAAGGTATCACTCTATGAACAAGCACAGTGTGCTGTGTATAATTTGACTAAAGTTTGGTGAATGAATTTGTTTATTGTTTGACATAAATCGAGTTTTTCAAATGGTATGTTCAATTTATTTTACACTGTATGGAATGGTATTGCAATAATTACAGTGTACATGTTTCGCACAACGTTTTAGCTACCCGTATCAAAATCCGTAACGCATCGATGGAGTAAAAGTGTACTCAATACGTTAGTGATATCGACAGCAATACCGAAAGTACGTAAACTAACACTTTCTGTGCGTAGTTGTCTCCGTATCTATTTTGTCCTTCAAATATTGATAAATTTTTCCCTAAATGTATAATTTTAGTAACCCACATATGTTATCATGTGTATCGAGCCAATTTTGATGAAGTAATAGCCTTATCTGTTGATAAATTTGATTATAAGCGAGGGGCCTGCAATTTTTACGAATAAAGCTTTAGTCACATTTGCTAATAGGCAGGTGTAAGGTCTATCGTTTCTGGGGTCAATAGTAATACCGTAGTCAATATCTTAGGGACATCAAACCAATGGATAGCAGCTAGGCCACTTGAATATATATTTTGTGCCTTAAGTCACGCTCTGAATTCATATAGAGCAGGGTATTGGGCTTATTTTGAGTATATCAGCTTGGTCCTGACCTCGACAATGAATGTGATATTGGGTCTAAAGATGGCGCCCCGCATCACTCTTGCCCGTATCCAGCTTTTGCCAAGGGGGGCTTTTTTTGGCTAAAAACTCTCGAAAAGTGCTCAGTAAGATGAAAAACTGGATGATTTTGAAAAAATTCTAGCCCGGTAGCTTCTTCCCGTGGTATGACTTGAACACGCATCAAGTCATGCGATCTATGTCAAACAGTAAGCGGCCTCGTTTGGGGGTCCAGTGAGACTAGTGCCCTAAAGCTTAGTGCCCAAGCTTCCCCGAACCACCGTCAGTGATTATGTGACAGGTAGAGTATATTTATTTGATCCTAGGATGATGATATTGGCGTGTCATTTCCTATTTTCATTTTTGTAAAGACAGACCTAACATCCTGATCCTGTAACGGACCTTCTCTCTTACATATGAGTCACGGTAGGGGCCCCAGATGTTTCTAACTCTTGGGTAGTGGTCCATGATGTGTTCTTCATTAGCAGCCTTGTGATGATAGGGAAGGGGGGGTGGTTGTAATTCAAATACATATTCAGTAGATATCGGGTCGTCCACCATTGTGTTGTGCGATTGTCTTCAGTTGGAATAACTTAGTTGAGTAAATCGGTATCAACGTTTCGTTGTGGTTTATTGGTTGTGCCTGATTGTGTTTTGATGGGTTGAGTAAATCGATTGAGTATTTGACTATGCCTGGTTGTGTAATGGTGGGTTAGTGTCAAGTTGGTATAGGTTTTACCGAAATGTGTTGTGTACGTTTGAGACTAGGTTCTCTTTTGATGGTTGTTAGTCTGGTGATTTAGTATCGGGTTGTGTCCCATTGTGTTATGTTAATCTTATAATGGGTTGTTTTCTCTTGTGAATATGTTCTGTTGGTTGGCTAGCTGGTTGTGGCTAGTCGGGTGAGGCATCTTGTTGTGTCTGATTGTGTTGTGTGATTGGCGTTGTCTCCAATTAGGTTAAGTTAGTTGTGTATCTCGGTATTACAATTTCAATGTTTTTTTGCCTGTGCCTGATTTTGTTTTGATTGTTTGGTTTGGGGTTTTGAAAAATTGTGTTGTGTTACTTGAACAATGGGCTGTGTTTGCTTTTGTTGGTTTACCATTGGGTTGTTCCAAATTGTTTGGTGATAATTTCACAGTTTTCATGGTTGTAAGTTAAGTTGTGTTTTATTGGTTGTGCCTGATTGTGTTTTTATTGTTTAATGTTGGATTGCACAATTGTGTTGAGTTAATTCAACAATTGGTTGTGTTTGTCTTTGTTGTTTTATTATTGGGTTGTGACATATTGTGTTAATTTACAGTTGGTTGTGTTTTGGTGGTTGTAAGTCAGGTTGCGCCATGCTGGCTTTGGTGCTGGGTTATGCTCTATTGCGTTCTGTGTATTTTGACACTGGGTTATGTTCTATTGTACTGTTCCATGATTGGTGATCTAGGTTGTGTTTGGTTGTAATGGGTTATATATGTCGAGTTGTGGGCTGTGTCCGATCAGGTTGTGGTGTTTATTGGGTTAAGCAACAAATGGCCGGTTTAGGGTATAATGTTGTTGGTTTATCAGTTGATTCTATGTAGACCCCAAAGGGGATATAGGGTATTATGATGGTGAGATATTCAACTGGTATGGTAGGTGTTAGCTTCGCGTCGTTCTCTGATGAGCTGGTCCCCTGTTGTTCAATGAATTCAAGAAAAACAATGCTAATTTATCTTTTTACATAATATATTTTTTGTTGATTTCTCATACAAAACATACTTTTATTGCATAACTGATATATTTGTGTCGCTTTCTATGATCATGTATGTTACTTTGCTCCCCTCCTTGCTTAGTTTATATGAGGCATGGGTTTTCAACTAAAGCCCATGTATGAGGAAGGGGGGGGGGTGGCTTATGAGAAAACGTATGGTTTCCGAATGCCTTGGCCTTGCCCAAGTCGCTATTTTTTATTTATTTGATCTTGAATTATTACCAAAATATACAGCTGCAAAAACATGAAATTAAAGGTCCATGTCCATAATGCAGTCACTGCACGTCACTTAATGACCACTATTCAGCCTATCTGTTTTCAAACCCTTAAATATTCCGAAAGGTATAATTTGATACTGAATTGGTTATTGTAAACCTAGAAATAATCTTTTCTGGCCTAAAGGATATTCTTCATATTGAAATTGATGTCATGAAATTAATAAATGACACCTTAGGGATGAAAGGGTTAATATGTATTTTTGCACTCACCAAAAATACTTTTGGAGTTGTGATTCTGAAAGCTGACACTCCCAATGGTGTTTTGAAATCTTAGTGCAGATGAAGCCTTTTATTTGACCCTAGTTTTCACTACTATTAAACACGGATTGAGATGCGTTTATAATTACGTACTTCAAAAAACGAACTGCGAAACGAAAATTATCGAAATACGCATCCGTAAACCCAACGAGATACGGATGCAGATACGTTTTAGCTAATTCGTTTTGCGAAACCTCTCTTATGTCTCATATCAGACAAAGCTTTATAAACATTTAAAGTCACTAATTTAAGTAAATACTCCTATTGTGATGTCATTATAATAAATGATTTACAACTTTTGGTGTTTTTAAAGTTGCACTGAACTGTTTTACCGTAGACATGGGCGTGATTTAGAAATAATTATATTCATTAATTCCGATTGGCTTGGTCTCCTTATTAAAAACTATTTAGAAAAGTACCCAAAATAAATTATTTTTCGGTGAAACTTATAAATTGTTCTCAATGATTTGAAAGTTTCATGTTCATTAAAGAAATAGCAGGGCGTTCAAAACTTTTGGACCCCCTCGTATATCAATTTTAAGAAGACTAATTATACCACTTTCGGAATCCACCGAGCTGTATTTGTAAATGATAATTTTTCACAAGAATTATTTTTTTGTGAAGTCGATTATAAATATTTTTGTTATTGAAATGCGTACAAATGAGAAAATAATGCATATTTCTACTTTGGTTCAGCCTTCAAATTTTGAAATCACGACATGTCCATACAGGTATATGGCAAAAATATCAATGTTGCACTCCATGAGCCAATAATCCATGATAACTTCACATACTGTACGGCATGGTCACATGACCTCAAAAAGTCTGCAAAAATATTCCTTCAATAAATTCATGATTATTTGAGGATTCTTTTCATGTAGTCGACTATTGGATAAGTGCGAACAAAAATGCGAACTACTATGGATTGACGGGATACCACTGTGGCCTTCTATGGAACAACCATGACCATGTAGTAATCTACAAGAGTCTTCCTTGAAATCACTGTTGTGCTGGTACTGGGCCTTCTATGAAGCCACTGTCCCTTATTCTGAAGATTCTAAATGCCAATCAAATCATTCTTAACAGAATGAGAGTGGACTTATTTTTAAAATCACAAATGTACGCTCATAACTTCACAAATGTAGACTCACCAAACTGTCAATGTGGCGAAGTCGAAACTGTCAAGCACATATTTTTCAATTGTGGTCTCAACCTGAACTCTCATAATCTAAATGTCAACATCCTCCACTTATTAGGTAACCTTCAAATGGACAAAAATGGTCTTATCAAAACATTTTTATTTGGTCATCCTGATCTTTCAACTGAACAGAACATTATGATTTTCAAACTAGTTACAAATTTTTTATCAGACAATTCCACTTAATGCTCAAGATGGCCTCCTTATGCTCCAACAGATCATCTAATCACCTTGCCCCAGCACCATTGCCCAGCAAAGACCAGCAAACCCCTTTGTCAGAAAAATACATCTTTTTCACATACTCAATGTTCTTTTTATATTTAAAGTGAACCTATAATGCTATCCTTCCATAGCGATTGGTCACTTATATCAGAAACTATTTGTACTTGTATATAATGAAATAAAACAGATTATAAAAAAATTGCCAAAGTTTTATAAAAAACATTAGCGGCAATTTTAGACAATATGAATAGGAATGCATTAACATTTAAAAATTCATCAAAGTAATGTTTTAACTCATATACGAAACTATTATCCCATGGGCCAGGGATGAGTTAACACATGCATGCAAAAATTAGCCAAACCAATCAATTTGGCTCAAACTTTGATCCACAAAATGGCTCATTAGTTCTATTAATTTTTCATTTAATGAATTATCTAAAT